GATCATTTGGATTTTTCTGATCATTTTTCATATATAAATTATTTAAACACAAGCTACCGTTGTTTTTCTGTGATTTTTCTAAGGTTAGTCAATTTTCTATAAATCATTTGTGATATATAAAAATGCCAGAAAATAATTATGATATCAGCATGACGTAGCAGGTCGACTATGTCGTCCAGGGTCAAACCTGACCAATGGGGCCCATCGGTTAGTGGCTCATTTCACTAATAGTGGTGGAGAAATTGCCAACTCGGCTGTCGCTCGCAGGGCTAGTCTAGGACTACTTTAAGTTCCATGCAGCCCGAGATGTAGATGCAGCCCACGCAACCAAACAGATGTTTTCCCTGCGCGGGCTTGATTGGTGCTAATGCAGGCAACCAAACACGTATGTATTGTTTTGTTGCTCGCTAGACGGATATGCATTGTCGGCAATGTTTCACTTTGTAGCCTACTCGTGCTTGTGTGGTGTACAAGAAGTTGAAGAAGAAGTCCTTCACCGTCATGCATTGTTGGTTGAAGTTGAATGAGCAACCGAAGTGGAGCCTTTTCATTGCCAAGACCGCTGCCCAAGCAAACGAGAAAGAAAATGGTGACCATACCGACCCAATCCAAGAACCGCCAAAGAAGGTTAGAAGAAATTTACGAGGGAAGAAGTGGGAGGAGGAGAGGACGAATAAAGAAGGTGTGGCGGCCAAGCTGTCAGAGGGGTTCGGGAACATCTTGACGAAGAAGGAGGAGGCATGCGTGAAGCGCTCGGAAATCAAGGAGGAGAGGAAGGTGAAGAGATTCAAATTGTTGATGTAGGCAACGGACAAGAAGATCAAGCTCGAAGAAAGGAGGATCATGATCGAAGAGAGGAAGGTCACGCTCGAGGAAAAAAGGGTGAAGATCTCCACTGATACGTCCATTTTGTATCATGTTTTCTTATTATTATTTATGATGTTTTTATCCATAATAATGCTTTTTGGAGTAATTCTAATGCCTTTTCTCTCATAATTTACAAGGTACACATAAAGAGGGAAAATTCCGGCAGCTGGAAATCTAGCCCTGGAAAAGCTACGTCAGGCCACCTATTCTGCACAACTTCAAACAAGCTGAAACTTCACGGAGATTTTTTATTAAATATATGATGAATATTGGAGTAAATAACTACCAGAGGGGGCCCACCAGGTGGGCACAACCCCCCTGGGCACACCAGGGAGCCCAGGTGCGCCATGGTGGGTTGTGCTCACCCAGGACCACCTCCGGTGCCCATCTTCTGGTATATGTCATTTTGACCTAGAAAAAATAAGAAGAGGACTTTTGGGATGGAGCGCCGCCGCTCGAGGCAGAACTTGGGCAGGAGCACTTTTGCCCTCCGATGGAGCAATTCTGTCGGGGGAACTCCCGGAGGGGGAAATCATCGTCATCATCATCATCAACAACTCTCCCATCTTGGGGAGGGCAATCTCCATCAACATCTTCAACATCATCATCTCATCTCAAACCCTAGTTCATCTCTTGTGTTCAATCTTGTTACCGGAACTATAGATTTGTGCTTGTGGGTGACTAGTAGTGTTGATTACATCTTGTAGTTGATTACTATATGGTTTATTTGGTGGAAGATTATATGTTCAAATCCAATATGCTATTTAATACCCCTTTGATCTTGAGCATGATTATCATTTAAGAGTAGTTACTTTTGTTCTTGAGGTCACGGGAGAAACCATGTTGCAAGTAATCATGTGAACTTATATGTGTTTGATATTTTGATAGTATGTATGTTGTGATTCTTTTAGTGGTGTCATGTGAACGTCGACTACATGACACTTCACCATATTTGGGTCTAAGGGAATGCAGTATGGAGTAGCAATTAGATAATGGATTGCGAGAGTGACAGAAGCTTAAACCCCAGTTTATGCGCTGTTTTCGTAAGGGACCGATTGGATCCAAAAGTTTAATGCTATGGTTAGAATTTATTCTTAATACTTTTCTCGTAGTTGCGGATGCTTGCGAGAGGGTTAATCATAAATAGGAGGTTTGTTCAAGTAAGAACAACACCTAAGCACCGGTCCACCCACATATCAAATTATCAAAGAAGAGAACACAAATCAAATCAAAATGGTGAAAGTGACTAGATGAAATTCCCATGTACCCTAAAAACACTTTGCTTATCATAAGAAACCGTTTTGGCATATCCTTTGTCTCAAAAGGATTGGACTACCTTGCTGCACTTTTGTTACTACTATTATTACTTGCTCGTTACAAACTACCTTGTTATCAAACTACTCTACTACTTATAATTTCAGCACTTGCAGACATTACTTTGCTGGAAACCACTTGTCATTTCCTTCCGCTCCTCGTTGGGTTCAACGCTCTTACTTATTGAAAAAAGCTATAATTGATCCCCTATATTTGTGGGTCATCAGTCACCAATGCGGAAGACGCCAAGATATTGACCTTGAATATGTACTCTTTGGATGCCGACACAAGAATCATCGTGCAATCCATCCGCTACCAGATGTTGCAGCGGCAGAAAAATGAGTTGGTGACGATGGACTATGAGGACACGAACGCGGAGGCAGAAGTTGCCAACGCAGCAGTGACGTCACCACCTTGATCGACCAACAAACAGCTAGGATTGTCGGGCCGACATGGCAAAAATGCACGGACCGCTGAAGTAATGTTCTTTTGGATTTGGGTAGGTAAGAACTAAGCATATTTGCTTCTTTGTTGTGATCGGGCTTACGATCCGGGGCTGATGTGATTTGAATTTACTTGCGGATATATATAGATTAGCATTGGATGTCGTCCTTCTTCATCCATGTTCGTGAATTGATCCCTTTGCCTATGGACAGGTGCGGCAGAAAATTTATGAATTACCGTTAAAGATGCCTTAAAGTAAAGTATAATCCCATTCTTAGCGTGACATTCTTAGCGTGAACAAAAACGGGCCACGAGACAAACAAAGTCTCCCAGCGAGTGCCATTGCGTGCACACAGTTATACAAAAGTTTTTTTCATGGTAATACGTGTCTCATTTATATCATAAAAATCAAATTACAAGTCACGCAAAGATCGACATGATAAAACTAAAAAGATAGCAGAACATCGCTAAGTTTGACACCAACATCTGTCACCTGTCTCCGGCACCACCACAGCAGCCACTAAAGAAAAAAATGATGGATCACCTTCTCACCTGAGCTCGACGCGGCTCCATCGCTGATATGCAGCTTTGCGGACCTCCAAGGTGGCTCACCAAAGATGAAGTCATTGCCGTTGAACGAATCAGACTGGGGCAACACCCCGGACACGCCATCAAACTCCAGATCTGACACCCCACCACGACTAAGACGCCGAAGTAGGAAACCATACCTGCCATCCATCAACCATGAACCCAGCACACGTTCCGTCTTTCAGATGTCGTCGATGCAGACCACAATCTGGATCCGCTTCCGAACTACCTCCCAAGCTCCGCGCTGACGCTGGAGACGCCGTCGCAATGGCGGAGCCCGAGGACACAAGTCCACCACAAGGATGCCGTCGCCGCCACGATATCCCTGCTTGAGCAGACTGGTTCCCAAATCTATCACCGACCATAGAGACGATCGCCTCGCCGGAGAAGAATCTAAAGCTTCTTTATTCAGCATCGCCATCGCCATCGCCGAAGCCAAGGCGTCGAATGATCCGAAAACCTAAGCTATTAGGCCTCTAAATCTAAAGAAAAACAATCCGCACACGCGGAATCCGATGACACCTCTCATGACCGACGACCAAGAGATCGTCCGTGAAGGAGAGCCGTCGGAAAACGGCGTCAGAAAGTTGGCTCTCTTGGCGGCGACGGCTAGGGGTTTTGGTTGCTAGCCAAACGCCCAAACCCGCTACATCCTCCAGCCAGCACACCTTTTTTTTGAGCATCAGTACAGACACAAGCGCTCATATACACGCGCATACCCTCACCCCTATGAACGCATACACGCACATCCTACCCCTATGAGCACCTCCGAGAGACTGAGCCGGCATATCATCTTGAGATTTACGAAGTCACCGTAGGCGCCTCGTCGTCGACGGGAACGTCTCCTTCCACTAAAAGCGCATCGCCGAAAATCCTGAAATAAATTCAAAAATAATGCGAGTACCAGGATTTGAACCCTGGTGGATTGGGGATACCACTGTCCACCTAACGAACTCAACTACAGGTTGATTCGCAACAAACCAGCACACCTTAAGCACCGGAGATAACAACCGAAAGATACAAGTACGTACGTAGCCGTAGTATCATATGCCTACAAGGATACGGTTTTAGACACAGACGCATGCCGAGTCACGTGACATGATCGATCACCTCACCTGGAGCCTGGAGAGGCCGGCCGGACACGTTAACGCCGTAGTCACGCAGACAAAAGCTACGTGCCGGCCGAAGCGACACACGCGTCGCCAGGTGTTGCATGACGCTAGTATAAGACGCAGTACGTATACCTGGTCTGGTTCTCTGCCGCAGCAACAACATTATTCGCCCCACCAATCATACATCCCGATTTGTATTAAAAATCATCATTCATCACTCCAAGTCAAGAAACCAACCCCACCGCACCGCACCGCGCCGATCGGGTCGGGAACCCGTCGCGTTCACCGCAACGAGCCAGAAACGCCCACCCCGACCCGACCCGATCCAGCAGGCAGGCAGGGACAAAGGCGAACACCACACGACCCATACCATTCCAGACCCCCGCAGACTGGCGCGCATCACCATTTTCCACCCGGCGCGCGGCCGGCTGTGCCACCGCGCCACTTGGACCGGACGGAGGCTCTCGGCCCCGCGCGGCTCGTTGCCATAAACCAGCCGTCGCGCCCCACCTCACCTCTCCTCTCGCCCAGTCAAAGCCAGAGAGCACCAGCCTCAGCCTGGCTGGCGGGCTGTCTCCTCTGCCGCTGCCGCCTTCCCCTCCGCCTCTAAATCCTCCGCCCCGCCCCGCCTGACCATCGACTCGACCGGCGCCGAATCCGGGACGGCGCGGGGTGATGGGTGTGTCGCCGGTGTCGCCGGGGGGCAGCGGCGGCTACGAGTGCTCCTTCAAGATCCTCCTCATCGGGGACTCGGGCGTCGGCAAGAGCAGCCTCCTCGTCAGCTTCGTCGCCGCAGCCAACCTCGACGACGACATCGCGCCCACCATCGGTACGTCTTCTTAGTCTCACTCTCACCCCACCACCACACCACGCCACGCCACGTCCAGTCCGATCGCTCTCTTGCTCTGCTTGGTACTACCAGACTAGTACGAGGTTCAGTGTACGCTCGTCGTATTGCTTCGGAGTATATAGTGTGGTGGCAGTAGGTAGCGGATTAAGGGCACCAGCGATTCCGCCCATTTCGGTGAACAAGACCTTTTCCTTTTAAGTTTTAATTAATGCCCGAGCTGTTCTCTGCTTTTGATTCTGCTGAATTGTCTCCACTTTCTTCTTGTTTGTTGGCGTTGGCCAGGGCTGGGAGTTAGTCTCCAATGCTAAGTAGTAGTACCATATGTCCTTTACAGTTGGTCTTATATGCCACTAATAGGTTGGTCCCCATCAACCCAAATGCTTAAATGCTGAAGCTAGTATTTGGGAAGATAGGGAAAGCGATCCATGCTTGTGCAACAAAACCTGATTGCGCACTAAAGAAAAATTAGTACTCCTACTCAAGCAACCCTCTCAGAAAAGTCATTTGGACAATTTTACCTTGCACGTAATCTATGGGAATGGTCCCAACTCGGTGCCCTTATGTATTTCCTTCCCGCCACTATGTTTTCTCGCCAGTTTAGTCTTATGGCCTATGGGTGAACTCTTTGTGTTATGCAACTCAAGATTGTGTGAGAGACAGTATGTCCTGACTGGGTCAAGACCTGGCTCGTACAATTCGAAGAAAAATAATTATAGCCAACTCTAGTCTAACCCTTAGGCCCGAGACAGCAGTGCTGTTATGCTTGTGCATGCAGCTCTATATACTACAGTACTACTCCCTCTGTCCCAAAATATAAGAATGTTTTTAACACTATACTAGTGTCAAAAACGTTCTTATATTATGGGACGGAGGGAGTATGATTTTCACACCATCACAATTTTTATTCTATAAATTGCACGCTCTTTTGGATTATATACTTCACGTGTCTTATAATTTTGTTTCACATTGATTGCCAGGAGTTGATTTCAAAATCAAGTTTCTTACTGTTGGTGGAAAGAAACTGAAACTGACTATATGGGATACTGGTGAGTTCACAATTTCCTCTCATTCTCCGACTGTTCAAGTATGGTCTTTCGCAGTAGGAACTGGCACAAATAAGTCCTAACTTCAAGTAAGCGGTCGTGTATGCAAGACTTTTATGTTCCAAGAACAAGTGGTTGGAATTTGCTCATAGAGACGCAACAATGTTTTAATGTGCCAAAAACTACCAGGAGTTGCTACAAGCACCAACTAGAGCAAAAAATAGCAATAAAGATCATCTCAGAAAAAAGATAGACAATAAGCATGGAAAATTCCTAGATTTAGCTTGCTAGTCATCTTGCCTTCCCATCCTTCTCTGCCATCATTACTTCAAGCATTTATAAGATACTTTATTATTTGGGTGCACCCATCATGTTACTCCCTTTCTCCTGACATCATCTCGACCAGAGGTTCCATCCTTATGAGTTTATAACCCCACTCAGTGCTGTCCTAAAGAATAATTTAGAGCTGCACCATATTACCTACTCTTCACGACAGTAGTACTACTGGAAGGTGTCTTAGTAATCTGTAAACAGAGTAAATTATGACATGGTGTCTACGATATTTTAAATGTTCTACAAGTCATTTTCTGTTGTTTTGCAGCTGGCCAGGAGAGGTTTAGGACAATCACTAGTTCTTACTATAGAGGTGCTCAAGGAATTATTCTAGGTAAAAAAAATGTTCTTAGTTGTTTTTGAGTTCTTACATATACTGTTGTTCTAAGATGATGTCAAATTTTCTCACTCGGAGATTAGATATTCGGGATATTCCATAGAACTTTTTAGGTTGGTCTATTGAATCGTTCCGTTAATATACTCACCAGTAGGTCAGCTACTTAGTGCTACATTATGTAGATCATTTTTTTTCTGTAGCACAGTTTTCTTGCATTTCCCTTTGTATTCATGATTTCTCCATTGATGTGTTAGAGTTATATTATAAGTCATGTACCCCTTTGTATTAATCCCGTTATATAAGGGGTTTCCTGCATATGTTTCACATCTGTACATGTATATATATCGGCCTATGGCCTCATGGGAATACAAGTTGCATATTTCCTAACATGGTATTAGAGCTAGGTCAATTTTTTCGCACGCCGCAACTCGTGTTGTTGATCCTCCGTGGCCGCCGCCGTGGCTTTTCTCTGTCGTAGCGCCGGTTCTCACGTCCGCTCCTCTCTGATCGGTCCACCCAAGGCCGGCTCCTTCCTAACGCTCACGCCGCATCCTTTGGATCGAGCAAGCTGGTCGCCTCTTTGGATCGGATCTCCGTCGGGCTGCTGCTCTTCCAACAACTAGACACCGGCCGCCGCCCCTCGTTGGATCTCCCTGCCAGCTGCCCGTTTTCGCTCTCTGCAGCTCCTTGCCGTTCTCGCCGCCAGCTGCTCTTCTCGCCGGATCTCTCCGCCAGACTGCTCCTCGTCCGGCGGTTGCCGTCTGCTGCCCGTCGGAAGCCTCTGTTACTCCCGCGTGACTGCTGCTGCCTGTAAATAAAAAAAACAGGCACGATGTCCGCATCTTCCGGCTATGTTGCTGTCCCTCGCTGTCCGGTGATCTTTGATGGTACTAACTACACCGAGTTCACTGGCTTCATGCGCATTCACATGCGTGGCATCCGTCTCTGGGGTGTTCTTTCTGGCGAGGTCTGCTGTCCGCCACGTCCAGTTCCTCCGGTGGCCCCTACTCCTCCGACTCCACTGGTTCTTGCTCCGGATGCTAATCAGGCCGCCAAGGATGCGGCTAAGCTTGCTGATGAGGCTGCTGATCGTGCTTATGATGAGAAGGTTTTGGCTTATGAGGAGGCTCTTCAGATTTATCATGGTGCTCTGTCTGCTTACACCCAGTGGCTTGATGATGATGCTCGTGCTGCTGCTGTTCTCACTGCTAGTGTTCTGCCTCAGTTTGCTTCTGAGTTTCTGGGTCTTCCTACTGTCTTTGAGATGTGGACCCGTCTTCGTCAGCGCTATCAGCCCTCTGGTGATGTCTTATACCTTTCTGTGGTCCGTCAGGAGCATGCTCTTCAGCAGGGTGACTCTACTGTTGATGACTTCTATGCACAGAGTTCTGCTATCTGGCGCCAGCTTGATTCTCTCTGCAGTGCTGGTTGTCGTACCTGCCCCTGTTGCCAGGCTGTCCAGGCCAATTTGGAGTTTCATCGCGTCTATGAGTTCCTGTCTCGGCTCCGTAAGAGTTTGAGCCCCGGCGTGCTCAGTTGTTTGCTCGTGGCCGTATTTCTCTCATGGAGGCGCTTTCTGAGATTCGTGCTGAGGAGACTCGCTTATGTGGTGCTGGTTTGCTGGAGGTTCCCTCTGTGCTCGCTACTCGTGCTCCTATGCCACCTGCTGCACCGACCCCTTCTCGCTCGAGTGCTCCGCCGCTTTTGCCCACTCCTTCTGGAGGCTCAGGTCGCCCCCGTCCACATTGCGACTACTGCAACAATGATGGTCATCTTGAGTCTCAGTGCTACACGAAGAAGAAACACCTGCGCAAGGCGCGATCATCATCTTCAGGGACTTCGTCATCTACCTCGACAACTTCAGCCATTACTTTGACTGAGCAGGATATTCTGAGACTTAAGCGTCTGCTCGCGGCTTCAGGTTCTTCCTCGACGGGTACTGCTGGTTCTGTGACTGATGCTTCCCGCACTGAGCAATCACCCTCTACACAGTCAGGTACATCCCCATGGGTTCTGGACTCTGGAGCTTCTTTTCATATGTCTTCTCATTCTTCCATTTTGTCCTCTCTTCGCTCGCTGGATTCTCCTGTTCATGTCCTCACTGCTGATGGTACTCCACTTTCTGTCGTTAGTAGAGGCACTCTTATCACTCCTTCTTACTCTGTTCCTGATGTTGCTCATGTTCCTCGACTCACCATGAATCTGTTTTCTGCTGGTCAACTTACTGATTCTGGTTGTCGCGTTATCCTTGATGTTGACTCTTGTTCTGTCCAGGACCGTCACACGCACACTCTGGTTGGGGCTGGCCCTCGCCGCCGTGATTCTCAGGGTCTTTGGGAGTTGGACTGGCTTCATGTTCCTTCTGCTGCCACCACTATCGCCAGTTCCTCCGCTTCAGTCGCCTCTGTTACTGGTTCCTTCAAGCAGTGGCATCATCGACTTGGTCATCTGTGTGGTTCTCGGTTATCGTCTTTAGTTCGTCGAGGCCTTCTGGGGTCTGTCTCAGGAGATGTCTCTTTAGAGTGTCAGGGTTGTCGTCTTGGCAAGCAGATTCAGTTACCATATTCACATAGTGAGTCAGTGTCTAAGCGTCCTTTTGATTTAGTCCATTCTGATGTATGGGGTCCGGCTCCTTTCGCTTCCAAAGGTGGTCATAAATACTATATTATTTTCATAGATGACTTCTCTCGTTACACATGGCTTTATTTCATGACTTCTCGTAGTGAGGTGTTGTCTATTTATAAGCGTTTTGCTGCCATGGTTCATACTCAGTTCTCTTCACCCATTCGTGTTCTTCGTGCTGACTCTGCTGGCGAGTATATCTCTAAGATGTTGCGTGGTGTTCTTCTTGCTGAGGAAGGCACCCTCTCTCAATTCTCTTGTCCTGGTGCTCATGCTCAGAATGGTGTGGCTGAGCGAAAGCATCGTCATCTTCTTGAGACGGCTTGTGCATTGCTGATTACTGCCTCTCTCCCGCCTCATTTTTGGGCTGAGGCCGTCTCCACCTCCACCTATCTTATCAATCTCCAGCCTTCCGCTGCTCTACAGGGTGGTGTTCCTTTCGAGCGTCTTTTTGATCATTCTCCCGATTATTCGATGCTTCGCTTGTTTGGTTGTGTTTGCTATGTTCTTCTTGCCCCTCGCGAACGCACCAAACTAACCGCTCAGTCTGTTGAGTGTGTCTTTTTAGGCTACAGTGATGAGCATAAGGGCTATTGTTGTTGGGATCCTATCGGTCGTCGGATGCGTATCTCCCGAGACGTGACTTTTGATGAGTCTCGTTCCTTCTACCCACGCCCATCTTCCTCGACCTTTTCAGTGGAGGATATCTCTTTCCTCACTTTTCCTGACTCACCTATCACCCCCGTCGAGCCTGTGCCTATTCGTTCCGCTCCCTCTGCTTCTCCACCTCTAGTCGATTTGATGCCACCATCTTCCACGGTCTCCTTGTCTAGCATGTCACCGGATTCTACACCTTCATCTCCGGTGACTTCTTCGTCGCCACCCCTCGATTCTACCTTGGCGATTCCTCCTTCTATTGTTCCATCTCTTCCTCAGTATTACACTCATCGTTCACGTCCTGTGGATGCCTCCGTGGATGTGTCGTCATCTTCCTCTCAGCCTACTTATGGCTTGCGTTCTCGTCTTCGTCCGCCTGTTGATCGCTTTGGATTTCCCACCGCTGGTGCTGCTGTTCTTGAGCCGACCTCTTATCGTCAGGCTGTTGTTCATCCTGAATGGCAGTTTGCGATGGCAGAGGAGATTGCTGCTCTTGAACGCACTGGTACCTGGGATCTTGTTTCCCTTCCTCCCGGAGTCCGTCCCATCACTTGTAAGTGGGTTTACAAGGTTAAGACTCGCTCCGATGGTTCTCTTGAGCGTCACAAAGCTCGTCTTGTGGCTCGTGGTTTTCAGCAGGAGCATGGTCAGTGATTATGACGAGACTTTTGCTCCTGTGGCACATATGACCACTGTTCGTACACTTCTTGCCGTTGCCTCTGCACGCCATTGGTCTATATCTCAGCTTGATGTTAAGAATGCTTTTCTTAATGGTGAGCTGCGTGAGGAGGTGTACATGCAGCCACCACCTGGGTATTCTGTTCCTGATGGCATGGTCCGTCGTCTTCGTCGCTCTCTCTATGGCCTTAAGCAAGCCCCCCGTGCCTGGTTTGAGCGTTTTGCCTCTGTGGTCACTGCTGCTGGTTTTTCAGCAAGTGCTCATGATCCAGCATTGTTTATTCACCTTTCTCCTCGTGGTCGGACTCTTCTTCTCTATGTTGATGACATGGTCATCACTGGGGATGACCCCGAGTATATTGCCTTTGTAAAGGCCCATCTTAGTGAGCAGTTTCTTATGTCTGATCTTGGCCCTCTTCGCTACTTTCTTGGGATTGAAGTCTCTTCTACCTCTGATGGCTTTTTTATATCCCAGGAAAAGTATATCCAGGATCTTCTTGCTCGTGCTGCTCTTACTGACGAACGCATTGTTGAGACTCCTATGGAGCTCAATGTTCACCTCCGTGCTACTGATGGTGATCCCCTCCCTGACCCGACGCGTTATCGTCATCTTGTTGGCAGTCTTGTCTATCTAGCTGTCACTCGTCCGGATATCTCTTATCCGGTTCATATTCTGAGCCAGTTCGTCTCCGCTCCCACATCGGTCCACTATAGTCATCTCCTTCGTGTTCTCCGATATCTTCGGGGCACAATCTCTCACCGTCTATTCTTTCCTCGCTCCAGTTCTTTACAGCTTCAGGCTTATTCGGATGCTACGTGGGCTAGTGATCCTTCAGATCGTCGTTCACTTTCTGCTTACTGTGTTTTTCTTGGTGGTTCTCTCATTGCCTGGAAGACGAAGAAACAGATTGCAGTTTCTCGTTCGAGTGCCGAGGCTGAGTTGCGAGCAATGGCTCTTTTGACGGCAGAGGTGACTTGGTTACGGTGGTTACTTCAGGATTTTGGTGTTTCTGTCACTACACCGACTCCGCTCTTATCTGACAGTACAGGTGCTATTAGCATTGCGCGTGATCCTGTGAAGCATGAGCTCACCAAGCATATTGGTGTTGATGCTTTCTATGTACGCGCTGGTGTGCAGGATCAGGTTATTGCTCTTCAGTATGTGCCTTCCGAGTTACAGTTGGCGGATTTCCTGACGAAGGCCTAGACTAGAGCACAACATGGCTTTTATCTCTCCAAACTCAGTGTTGTTCATCCACCATGAGTTTGAGGGGGGGTGTTAAGAGTTATATTATAAGTCATGTACCCCTTTGTATTAATCCCGTTATATAAGGGGTTTCCTGCATATGTTTCACATCTGTACATGTATATATATCGGCCTATGGCCTCATGGGAATACAAGTTGCATATTTCCTAACATGATGAACCCAAATCAACTCTTTTACTTGCAATGCATGGAATTATGAGAAGTTGGTGACCACAAGGATGCACCCTTCCATCAAACGAGAAATATTTTTCATTATTTTGTGGATACTTCTTTCTATGTGTATGCATGAACAATCTTATTAGTTAAGAGTATCTTATTTACTCATGTTTGAGCGCCGGTAGGCTAGCGGCTTCTGTGCTCGCTCAGCCCACCTGGGTTTGAGGCTTGGCCTCTCGGCGGTGCCTCATTGTTGTTCTTCTAAATAAAAAAATGCCACAGGTGCTAGTGCATGCTGGTCAAGATTTTTTTTTATTGCTGATGTTTTGATCAGTGCAAATTATATATCTAGCGAAACGTGGAACCTTTGATCATACTTCACAATAATTTAGTTGCTACTAATCACTTGGTCATGGCGAATATGAAAGCATGTGCATAGGTTAACGATGGCAAATATTGATTAGCTTGTGTAGTGCTAAATTATCTTGAGAATTATGGTCCTTTGTGTATTATGTTTTTCATGCTATAAAGTGGATTAAGGTCTAATATCTTATAGTATTTTACTCATAGTATATGACGTCGCGAAGAGAGAGAGCTTCACAAATTTGGGTGATGTATGGACTAAGGAGATAGACTCAAACTCATCAAACAAAGACTGCATAAAAATGCTTGTTGGAAACAAAGTTGATAAGGTACCATTTTTTTTCCAAATAGAAATTGTTATTTTTCCTGAATATTTTGTTCCAAACTTGTTATTTCTTTCCAAACCTAAATTGCTTTTTCTACACAACTTTATATCAACTCAGGAAATCACTCATGGGTCAAGTAGACATAGATTCAGTTGTTAGCTTTAATTTTGATGGTCCCATCTTTGCAGGATGATGAGAGAACAGTCACAAGAGAAGAAGGTCTTGCCTTCGCACAAGAATCTGGATGTCTGTTTCTTGAGAGCAGTGCAAAAACACGAGAAAACGTCGAGAATTGTTTTGAAGAACTTGTGCTAAAGGTAAAGACTCCAGAGATACTGTGCCCCACAACCTTAGATTCTAGAGTCTTTTATACAATTAAGATGCAAACACATGGGGACACAACTGAAGAACTTAGTTGCATTTTCAGTTTCGTGGTTGCTTTTTCTTCAAGTAGGCAAGCCCCTAGCTGCTGCCTTGTGACCATGAGGTCATGGGTTCAAGTCCTGGAAACAGCCTCTTACAGAAATGTAGGGAAAGGCTGTGTACTATAGACCCAAAGTGGTCGGACCCTTCCCTGGACCCTGCGCAAGCGGGAGCTACATGCACCAGGTTGCCCTTTTTTTTTTAGGCAAGCCCCTAGCTACATGAATCACAAACAGACTCAGTTTTGCCGTCGTGCAGATCCTTGAGGTTCCAAGTCTCCTGGAGGAAGGCTCGTCATCGGTTGTCAAGAGGAACATTCTGAAAAAGCAACAGGAAAGTCATGCAAAGTATGGTGGTAGATGCTGTCAATAGATCTGTGACGTATGATTGAGCTCGCTATCTATGGTCATCGTATCGCAGGCAAGTTCGTGATACCCAAACTGTAGGTTCTCGTTGTACATGAGTTGTGTCTAAACAACCTGTGAGTAGAAAAGGTGGGGAAATTGGGGAAAGTAAGTACAGTACTCCCTCCGTCCCATAATATTATGGGACCTAGTGTCGGAAACGCTATTATATTATGGGACGGAGGGGTTAGTTTGTAAGGTTATGGAGAGTGGTTAAAATTGGTTTGTACAAAGGGAACACAATGTCTATTCTTCATGTCTAATAAGGCATAATTTGCGCAAATTGCTTTGTCCCGGGGATGAGACAGACCTTCCCTACTTTCTTGATTCTTGATGTTAGCGACTGTTGCATGGACGGCACTGAAGGTTTGTTGTCAAGATGTGCGCATTCTGCTCTTTTGATAATTCCAGCAAACAAAAGATTACCCTGGAGGGTAGGCCCTTGATGAACAGGACACTCCTGGATGATGCAAGCCGAAGGGCCAGGGGAAGTAAAGAGGCCATCGTTTCCTTCGTGCATTTTCCAGATTTCCCAGCAAACAAAGATATGTCCATGGAGCGTTAGTTTTTCAGGATTCAGCCACAGGTGCCGAAGAGCCCAGGGGTTATAGATCAATGTTTTCGAGCCAGGAGTTCACTTGACAGTGAAAGAAATTGGAAGCATTACTTGACTAAACTGAACCCTAACCGCAAATTGATGTTGGATTTTTGCTCGGCATCTTTGTTCCACTTATGCTGCTGTGGAGGCACAGCCTATATTTAAGCGGTTGTAACATATGTGATTTTTTGGTTCAAGTGCCAAAGGCATCAAGTGCTACCTTTTCCGTTGGATTTTTTGTCAGAAAAAAAGAATGTCCAATGACAGATTTCATATTCTAAAAGCACTTTATTATTAATTAAAAAAACACCAACGACTGCAAATCCAGTGATGAGAATCAGTAATTCATGGGCAACATTATTTGTCGGCTTAACGAGAAAGTGGTCTTGAGACAAGTATTCTGTCTTAGTAACGGTGAATGAGATCGCCAAATGCCCCAGGGTTCTTCGAGTAGTGATCAATCTCAGCCTGCAAAAAGATAGAACCAAAGATGTTAGCCACGTTCGTGCTTTCATTATATTTCTGAAAATTCTGTCGAGTTATATCATGTGAAGAAAAATAATACTCCCTCCAATCCATAATAAGTGTCGTGGTTTTAGTTCACAAATTTGAACTAAACCACGACACTTACTATAGGTCGGAGGGAGTAACTTACGAGTACTAACCTTGCGCACAGCGATAATGGCTGTAATAAGCTTATCGCCGATTAGCTCATGCAAAGTTTTGTCTGCAGCAAGTGATTCTACAGATTCCAGAAGGTCCTGTGGTAGCCTTTTAAGTTTGGTAGCATAATCTGCAGGATTTGATTCTGGAAGAGACACAAGACACATGTGACATTTGCAGACAGTCTCTGAGGAAACCAAAAGCTAGTCGGCAGAAAAAAAGTTACAATAAAATAATCTAATTCCAGACATATAACATAACATTTTTAGGGGCATACCGGATCCATTAGGCACATAAGGTATAGTAATGTGTTAGATTATTGATTAGCAGTTTTAACGATAATGAAGAACTCCGACTTTTTCTCACTACATTGACACAACATCTACCATGTCTCAAAATCTCACCCAGTTGACTCGCAGCTCAACAAACAAAGATGACAAATCTGACTGAATAGTACTAGCCTGATGTGGCTTTCCTTTTATCAAGCTAGGAATTTCATTTTGATTTGATATTATGTGGGCATAATACATGTGCATTGTGTCTATGTCATGATGGTTTTTCCCAGAATTTTCAGGACCTTTAGATGTGTTTTTCGACAACTTTCTATCATGTTGTACATGTTCCTGCAAGGATCACCGCACATGCTCAATATGTTCCTAGGGCATTTTCAGACATGGTAGGACGACAAATATCAGTAATGCATGAGAGTAAGGTAAAAAGGTCAAGCAATGAAATTCTTTTCGTACCAATTGGTTCAGGCAACTTAAGGCCTTTCCTAAGTCCATCAATCCCAGCAGCGACAATAGCAGCAAGCCCCAAGTGTGGATTTGCGCACCCATCAAATGATTTAATTTCGAAGTTGCTGACCATGTCGAGAGGCACACCAGGTGGGCATGCGGTTCTCAATGGAGCCTCCCGGTTTTCTTTCCCCCAGCATAGGTAAGCTCCACTCCATGTATTTGGCTGAATTCGATCGTAGCTACATATAGAGAAGCCAATAATGACGATCGTTAAAATGGCTACTTTGATGTTCTGGCATTTCTCCAACAAGTAGCAAACTGTGTTATCCAGATTCAAGATAATAAAAATACGTTGATATCCTCTAAGTACCAGAGAGTTTATGCAAGAAAACAAGTACCAAAACGAGTTATCAAAGTTATTATCGAATTAAGGTGTATTCTTGGAAGCTTTTCTGGAAGATGTTACCTGTTAGGGTGAGGAGCAGTAAATGCCAAGATTGATGGAAGATGATGGTATACTCCAGCAAGGAACTGTTCTCCAACGTTTGACATTCCATAGTGGCTGTATTCATTTGATCCCATAAAAACATTCTGATCATTCTTCCATAAACTCAGATGCACATGGGAGCCCGATCCAATATCATTCAGGTCAGGTCTGTGTCCAGCAGAACAAATCATCAGCTACCAGAAAGGCAAGTTTAACTTGATTGACAATTTTTTTTCTTTCAAATCACACATGTTTGGTGATCTGGTACTGCTAAAACCTAATATTTACATAATGCATCAGAGTATAACATAGGAATATCAGCAAATGGAAGTTTTATTTGATCAACTGTAGCTCATTTCAGTTTTCTTCTAATCTTCCAAGTAAAAATTCAATTCTTTCACAAGCCAGTAATGTTGTCTGGATACACTGTCTGGTGTTCATGTATGATTTGCTGTTAACACAAAACAGTGTACGCAATAAACTTCCAACTATAAAGCATGCTAATGTAAAAACAGAGTGTAGATCCATTGACTTACTTTGGAAGAAACGTTGCTATCAACCCATGCTTTCGAGCAACAGATTTAATAATCTCACGAGCATATATCAAATTGTCAGCAGCAAGAGTGCACAGGACATACTTCAAGGCAACCTCGAACTGCCCTTTTCCAGCTTCGGCATGCAGCTTATATATTTTTTGAGCAAGAAAGTGGATGTAAACATGGAAAAAACGATCGATCAGTAAGTCATGACATATAATCAAAAAGGTAAACAGTTTGATATGTAACATCACGAGTTTTGACATCTTTTTGGTGGTAAAATAACGTCTTACCTGCTCAACAACAATATTTGCCACTTTAAGAGAAGAATACACTTCTTGTAGTATAGATGAGGCACCATCAAATGATGAGGTTGAGCAGTAACTGCTATTATCATATGGAACCCAACGCTCATGTCCCTCACTGTAGAGTTTTTAGATTTGGGTCACATAGAGAAAAACATGGCCTTTAGCATAATTTATTTTGCAGAGTCAGGAAAAGCTACCTTACTAATTTTCTGCGGAGATAAAATTCATTCTCAAAACCTGCCTTCATTGTCTACAAAAAACAAACAACTAAGCATAAATACAAAAACTAGTCCACATACAGAACTCATGAGACAAAAATGATCTTCACAAAGTTATGTAGGCAAAATTCTGGGTTTATTCTTACCACATTGAATTCATCCAGCAGAACTTTTGTGATTTTCCTTAAGGCATATCTAGGACAGTATTCCCAGGCTTCTCCAGGCCTAATTTGCATGTCAGCTATCACCATTTCCTCACGTGTTGACCTTGCAATGTGAGTACACTATCATTAGTTCAATGATGCCTTAATAAGTTCAGAGAATTGACCTACTGTTAACAAACAAGAAACTATTCATATACGTACAATACTAAGTTATGGGATTCTAAGGGATGGTCCGATACAAAGTACAGAGCAAGCGTTAAATGAATTAACTTTACCATGGGAGTCTCAAAAGTGTTGACATATCTGGCATAAGCCTGATCTCGCCTACACCAGTAAGGTTTGTTCCATCAGCTGGGCCGTCACAGAAGGAAGTCATTCCCATTGATGCAAAAGTCAGGCCGACACCCTTATTCCTTGCAATCTCATAAAACCTTCCGGCTGGGACAACCTGAAAGTGAAGTTCTATTTTCTCAAAATTGGATTTGGTATTAGCAATTCTAAAAACAATGCCGTTGTTCAGGTGGGTGAACTGACCGTCAACACAGTCAACACCATGCAATTATCAGTAGTTTTATACATGCCAAGTTGACCATCTACTGAAACGGAACAACTTGTATGCAATCTTCAAACAAAGTTCATGCTAACTATTGTGTCTACTTGGTAGTTTATTTAAGACAATTTTCTAAAAGAGAATTTTTGGTCCATGAAAAAGAGAGAAATGATCAGTGAGATTGTGAGAAAACTACATCCATAATGTAAACAATGCAGCATGTGCTTACGCGGCATCTATGTTGGCCTGAAGCATCATTCCAGACGATGCGAACAAAAAGCACATCTTGCTCAACACAAGATGATGCTATCCTATTGTCAGCTATCGTTTTCTGGTGAATTGACCCATTGGCAACGTTCAACTTGTACAGATCCGATGCATTTCTTCTAAAGATGTCCTCAACTGCATCTATAGCTTCCTGAATGCTAAGATCACCATCTTCAGATGCAGCTGATAGGACACGGTAAACAACATCACGTGCCCTCCTGGATCCTGCAAATCAGTACAAACTATATATTATCACTTAAAATCAAAAACTAAATGGACACGCTTGTGTGGTTTTCAGATAACTTTCCTTACGTGCACTACTTATTTATATACTCCCTCCACTACAAAATACATGCCACAGTCTTCAAGATGTAACTTCGACGCTATTTTTCATATGACATATGTTAGTAAAAAAATTGAAATTGTTTTTTCATGAACTAAACAACCTTTTGTTAATTAGTTGTCAAAGATAGAAAGGGTTGACTGTACAATTTTTAGGAAATCATGTTTTGGAACAGAGGTGGTATATCTGAAGGTCTAGATCTTGTGCCAAATCTGTCTGTTCTTTTGTATTTTTATATTGGTCCAAAAGTTTGTTTTCCTACTATGAGAGGATACTGTTTAAACTACTTCATTTATGATAATATAGCTAACGTTTGTACTGACGTACAATGATCTCTCATCATCGTATGAAAGGGTTAAAACTGATTATTGTACCTAGATAGTATGTCTCCGGAAAAGCATATCCATCTGAACTAAACATGACCTGCCAATGGTTAACAATTAACAAATAAAAATATCATGTGGATAGTATCTCCAGAAGCAAAAGAAACTGAGAATGAACATATGTGACTGACAATGAGACATACATCAAGAGTGCTATTAGAGAGGAAACTGAAGAGTAACTATTTCAGACAAGATAGTAAATCAGATGCATTGGAAGAGCAAAAATAAGAGAGAGATTCTCAAACCTAAAATAAAGTCAACAGTAATCTATATTAAGCAACGAATACTGCTCGGACCTGGAATATGGGACCATGTGTGCTGTAATTTTTCGTTCAAGAACATGGACGTACGTGTGTAGTAATCTCTGTGTCTAATGGTCTCCTTCCAGTAAAGAAAGTGACATTTTGGGATACGTGCAGTCAAACTTTCTTGACTTTGGCTATTGATATCTCTATGACTATTGAGGATCTCCAAATGAACATATGAAAACAAATATATGAGTATATTCATCTGAAGAAGTATTTTTGTAATATTATAATGTTACTAAATCGTATCAGTAAACTGCATTATCAATGTAGAGTTATGGAGATCACGTCAGTGTCCACAATAGCAATCTTTGTCACTGGAAGGAGTACTATGGCAAAAACGTAGATGTGGTGGCACAGTGGAGGATAATACGTTATTGAGTTGTGGAGAATATTAATTAGTTCAGTTTTTCTGCACCATGGAAAAGCAAAATCTGTTTTCATATTAATAACTTCTTCAGATTCTATATAAATAATTATCCATATGACGGATATGGTACCTTGTTTATGGGAGCTAGCTCCAGAAGCTCTTTAAGTGATGAGACCATTCCTTGAACACTTAGTTTTGGAATTGCCAAACCAAAATCAAGATAGACCTGTTTGCGGGTTGTGTATGATGATTAACATAAATCAAAACTGAATAGGTGAACAAATGCACAAAGACGAGGCTCCAACCTGGGAGTAAACAGATGCAAGATAGGATGCTTCCTTAGAATATGGATAAGAAGCATGTAAAAGGACTAACTGACACTTGGTGAATCTTTCATCCTCAAGAACAGCACGGAGATGTAGAGGATTGCACTTCCGCAAGTCCAGGTCTTTATCTCCAAAGCTGAAATTGTGTAGAACATGTATATACTTGAGATCTTGACATGACCAGACAGGAAAGTGCTTTGATAAAATCTAAAATGCCAGTCATTACCCTGTGTGAATCTGCATTGGTAAGTGACACTGCACAGCAATATCGAGACTACGAGTAAATAGATAGTCGATGAGGCTCTTATTTGTAATCCGAAGAGGTCTTTGCCCTGAAAAGTATGGAGTATAAGCAGAAAATAGATCTTACAATCATAGGTTACATGTTTTATCTGTTTACACATTTCTCCCTCCCAGTAGAGAAAATATGTTCACCTGTTAGCTCCTTACGAAGACCATCCTCTGCATCTGTCTTGCTAACACATGGATCAATCTCTAAGCCACTTCTGTATGCAGCAATGCTTTTCAACCCAACAATTTTGCTGGCAACTGTGAGAAATTAGTCAAGGATGTCCATGTAGTTGAAAGAACAAACAGAAAAAAAAAACCAGTTTGTCCCAAATAAAAAATTCTGGAGGATATGATTTGAGCTTAGCCACAAAAGTTTCAGTGAATGAGTCCAACGTCCAGCTTGATCCACTGAATGAATCCTGAAAGAAGTAACTAATTTCATCACTAGCTAATCATAATCTTTACCTTGATACAGTATATTAGAATAAGTTAACAACTGCAAAGGAAATACATCAACATAGAACTGAATCATAATCTAGTTATTGCAAGGGTGGCCCAAAAACCCTTTATCATTGACTCGAGAGAGGGAGACTCACGTCGTTAATAATCGTCTCCGCCAGCCATTCGATTCTCAGAACTCTGCCGACTGTGGGAACAAATTCCTTGTGGGCTTCCAGCTCAAGCATTTTATCAAATGCTAGGCCATCGTCCACAAGGATCGCGGATATATTGGCAGCTTGGAAGCATTTTGAGCTGATAGACGACAACCCTTGGGCCTTTCTGAACTCTTCCACCTTGTCAAGCGAGGCTTCACAGCCGTACAATGCGGCGATGTCCTTGATGCTTCTCTGCATTCAATGATATTGCAAGGATGTCATGACTTGCTGAAAATCTATCCTTAGATACCATGCAATAATTGTGGAATAAGCAACATGGAACAGTATTCCTATTTCTAGACAGAAGAGCAGCATTTGGAAATTGGAACCACAGAAAAGTTACTGGCACGTAAGAGATGGACAGAGCACTGAACAGATGGCCCACATCACATGACGGCGTGAACATCTTAAGCTCAGAAGCAAGAAGCGTGCCAAATAACCCCAGCACCTCCCATGGGTCCAGCAGCATGCCATTAAAAGCACACACGCCCATCCATGGAATGGACCTCACAGCAGGGCAAAGAGACGGAGCAAAAGGTCTACTGCACCCCACCGCACTGCACCCCACCATACAATGGCGATTGGCCAAAGCAGGCATAAAGCTGGCGATCTCTGCCGTGCCACCAGTTAAAGGAAAAAAGACGAACTCATTCATCCGCATATTCTGCCCAGTCAGTAGTAACTAACGGATCGAACATGGTGTCATTATAGACATTAAATAACTAAATATGGACTCATTATCATCCGTGCCCTCCAAAACCACCAGCTATGCTTGAAGTATGCATTTTCTTAATCTTACAACATCCTGCGGTCTTATTTAGAATAAAAATCATGTGATACGCCACTTAAATATTTAAATTTTAGTATACTGTTTGTACTTAAGTATGTCTAATGATGGTTTATATGCGTACATGTTTCGAATGTCAAAAATATAGTTTCTCTATATTATTTACGTGATTAATATATAATCAACATATTTATGTATAGTTTCTCTAAACACGTGCATGGTATATTCATGCGCATTTTCTACATATATGCCACATCGTATATGTAAACAGTGCATGATCCGTGTTAAAAAAAAGTGCATGATCTAGTGGAATGACCAAACCAAGATTTGAAAGCAATGGGATCCATGATAACATTGACTAGAATGATACATTTCCTTATTTTCCTCCATGTTTTAATGGCACTATAATTTACTTCCTTATTTGCCAAATGGAAAGTCCATACTAGCCCTACATAATCATTGACAACATCTTACCCCCACAAGAGGTAAAAGTAATACTATTAGCCATGGGATCATGTGAATGTAAGGGCTCATGTCGATTTGGGCCCATCTTGAAAGAGCGACAAAATTTTAGAGCACGTGGCCTATTTGTAAATCAACCCGTCAACACGTATAGGACCCTGATAAGACAGGCCAAAGTACACCTAACTAACTCTATGGCCGACACAATCTAGCACAAATTTCACTGACTTTGGAAAAAGAAAATGTTGCGATCTCGAGCAGGATGCAAGCAAGACGGCGCGGTGGAGGATGGCCAGCCGGGGAGTGGATAAGCACAGCGGCGGCGTGAAGCGAAGCAAGCGTGCGTGTGGTCAGTCAGTCGGTTACCGTAGTACAGTTACCTTGAAGGAGAGGGAGTGGGGAGCGAAGGCGAGCGCGTCGCCGTCGGCCTCGGAGAAGCAGCGGAGGAAGGGGAGGGAGGAGGCCGTGTCGACGAGGTTGTGCGCGTGCGCGTCCACCGCCGGCGTCTCCTCCACCGCGCGTCGCAGCTCCGCGTACCTGGCCTCCATGCTCCGCCGCCGGTCGCTCGCTCGCTCAGCCGGGGAGTGGTGGGAGATTTTCCGGGGGCGGCGCCTTCTTGTTTGACCGTGCGAAACCCCGAACGGTCTTGCGTGTCTGGGGACGGAGTATTGTACTATTGCAAATGAAGACTCGGAGGCAGAGAGGGGTTTTTATGTAGTACAAGTAGGCGCTCCGCGACGCAGGCGCTGCGCAACTACCGGTCAGTCCTGCCGCTGCTCTGCTCGGCTAGTGACAAGCGGGGTCGATGTGGCGATGGAATGGGAGGCTGCCTGTCCTGTGGGACCCACTTGTCAGTTGAGCTAGTGGTTTGGTGGACGTGTACTCTATCTTATTTCGATGAACGTGCTATCTATCTTCTAGTCAAACATTGCCACAAGCATTTATTTTTTTATTTTTATTTTTAAAAGAAGAAAGATGAACAAATGTGTCTACATACATACTCCATCCTTTCTGGTTTATAGGGCTCAACTCAAACATCTCACCAAGAAAGATAGATAATGAATGATGGAATAATTTTGATATTTTGCAAAAGTACTCAATTAATGCGCTCGTTTTCATCAAACAATTGTGTGAACCAATGCATTAATTGCAATGCATGCATGCATGATCAATAAATGACTAAAACTTTTACTACATGTATGGCCTCTTTTGGTTCATAGGATAGGATTATCATAGGAATAGGAATCTTGTAGGAAATGGGATGACATGTATCTCAAATCCTATAAGTAGGAATAGGAAACAAGATGTCATTTGGTTGACACCAAAAGAATTTTTCCATTGAGTCTAGGCTTTTTTTATTTTTCTATGAAATGTGGAGGATAGGAACCAATCCTATGTAGGAATATGAATCCATTCCTATGAATCAAAGGGCTCTAAAGGAAAAAATCATATAAGAATCCTATCCTCTAGAATTCTTATGAAATTCCTCTAAACCAAAGGAGGCCTTAGTGAGTTTTCTTTTAATTCTTGCATGCAGTGATTTAATGCACCTCGATATCTGAGTGTGTGATGTGCAGCAATAGAAATATGACTTATAAAATGAGAAAACGAGAGTTTTGAGATACTAAGGGGGTGTTTGGTTCTAGGGACTTTTTTGTGTTGGGACTAGAAAAAGTCCTTAGCAAACCAAATAGGATGGGACTTTTTTGCGATTTTTTGCTAAAAGTCCTTAGAAGCACCTCGTTGAGAGTCTTTTTTAAAAAGTCCTAGGAACTAGAAAAAGTCCTAGGACTAGAAAACCAAACACCACCTAAGCCTTATAAACCGGAAATGGGGTAGTAGTACTATCTCCGTCCGGGTTTATTAGGCCCTCTTGTATTTTGGTCCAAATTTGACCATATATTTAACTAGAAATATACTCTGTATAAAGTATAGTTTTTGTGACATGTAGTTTATATAATTATTAGTTAAATTTATGCTTAAAGTTCGGCTCAAAATAAAGAGGCCTAATAAAATCGGACGGAGGGAGTGCAGATAAAAAAAATGTTTGCATACACTCTACCACTACTCTTTAGCCTATTAATTCATGTGTATGGGCACCCTGCAAAAAAAAAATAATCATGTGTATGGGCAGCGGGACTAAAAAATGGGAGAGTTGCTGCTGGTGAAATGGGCAGCGGTACTTGCTACACTAGCCAAATCATTCATTCACGATGGTCCACAATAGCTGACTGTTTTTTGTCCGAATTCTTAGCGTGTACAGTATGTTAGACCGATGACGAACCGACGTCGAGCGGCTCACGAAACCGACGTTGATGATATATCTGTCGTGCAGGCTGGAGGACGATAAGGCTGAGATGTCTTGGCATGGACGGCGCTCCAAACCCAATTACTATAGCCTGGACCGGCCGGCTTGGTCGACTGTCACGGCCGTGCTACAGTACAAGATAAGCACGTATACGTAGTCACGCATACAGCACATTACAGCCCCGGGCCGAGCTGCCACGCACCCGATGGTTCGACAGGTACAATGCCTAGAAACAGCACTAGCTGATCGACCGGTACATGGGTCTGCTTACGGCCGGGTGTGGGGCGAAAGCAACAAAAATAATGGAGGTCCTCCATGCGTGCATCGCACTCGCCCCGCGCGCTCTGACTTTTGCCGCCTACTACTCGTAGTACATGTGCTACCTGCAGCTGGGACGCGCGCGTGCTATACGGACGCTGCCATGATGCCCACGCTTTGGTGCCGCCCGCGTATTCGACGAGGGACTGGGTTCAGGTGACATGCATCGGTGACATGCGGCTCAAATTCAAATTTAAACATTACGAAAAAATCTGAAAAAATCATGCATGTTCACAGCACATACTAAGATAACCCCTAAAAATTTCAGATCAAAATTCGAAACATACATCGAGAAACGAAAAAGAGAAATCTGTCATGAATAGTTTCCGAATGGTTCTCTGTAGACTATTCACATCTGAGTTTCTCTTTTTCATTTCTCGATGTATGTTTCGAATTTTGATCTGAAATTTTTAGGGGTTATCTTAATATGTGCTGTGAACATGCATGCTTTTTTTCAAAAAAAATCGCAATGTTTAAATTTGAATTTGGGCCGCATGTCACCGTGCATGTCACCGTAGCGCATGTCATCTGATCCCAGTCCGTCGACGAGGGCCGGGAAGCTTTGCCGTGTGTGCCACCGGTGCCGTCGCACGGATTCGGAGCGGGGTGGATTGAGTAGATTACGGGGCTGTTTGGTTCTAGGACTAGCATTGTCACATTTTGTCACACATTTTTGTTAAACTTGCCTAAGGTTAGTTCATCAAAATGAGAGCCACAAGTTGACAAGCTTAAGAGAATCTTGTCACGCTTTTTGTGTGTATGCCATGTGGGGTCCAAATATGGCTTGCCTAAGGTGTGACTTGAACCAAACACTCACCTAAGTTGGTCAAACTTGCCTAACCTTAGTTGTGGCAATCTTTGACTAAGTTAGTCACAAACCAAACAACCCCTATGTGCACTGTCCCGGGCGGTGATATGACTTGTGTGGTGAGATCTATGAAATCAATATTTTTTAATAGGAAAGGATGGCTTTCCCGACATCCCTCTCCTCTCCCTCCCCTCACGCCGACCATGGCCGCCGATCTCCGCCACCGTCAACATGAGCTGACGCCGATGCGTCGGAGACGGTGGCCGTGGGGCGCATTCGTGTACCGCTCAGCTCGCCCCATATACTCGCAACGGACTTTTGACCCTGGGGGTACTTGGGCCTACACTCGCGACACACGCCATGGCGGGACCAAGAGGTGGGGCGAGCCCGGTCCAGGTGGGGCCGCCTGCTACATGGCATGCAGCTAGAGTTACGGAGGGGATAAATCCTCCCTCACCCCCTCCATTCCAGATCTCGACCTCCTTCTTCTCCACTTATGGGAGGCACCGCCTAGGGTTTCTCCCTCGTTCGGCTGGTGGGAGGGGAAAGTGGGGGAGACCACAGATCCTTCGCTCAGGTCGCTGCATCTCCACCAAGCGCGAGTTCACCCCGCAATAGCTATGGCAGATCGAGGAGCGGAGAACCACGGCCACCGCATGGATGGCTTCGGGATGGGCCGGGCCGGTCGTGGTGCCGGTCGCTTCGGCTGGGGCGCCGGACGCGGCGGTGGTGGAGGCGATCGCAACATGGTGTGGACGCGCGACATCGAGGAGGGCGGCCAGGTCTCCACCAACATGGACCATGGTCGCGGGCTGTCAGATCAGGCAAGGTGGGAGGCCGCGGCCATGGAGACGCAGAGCGACGGCCGTCGGTGTCGGTGTCAAAATCGGCTGATCTCAGGTAGGGGTATCAAACTATGCGTCTGAGGATCGAAGGTAACAAGGGACAGGGGAACACGATGTTTACCCAGGTTCGGGCCCTCTTAATGGAGGTAAAATTCCACGTCCTGTTTGATTGTATTTGATAAGTATAGGGGTTACAAGAATTGACCTACCTCGAGATCGTAATGGCTAAATCCTAGCTGTCTAGCCTCTATGAATTCTGATAGCCTCAATGGACTAAACCCTCCGGTTTATATACACACCGGAGGGGCCTAGGGTTGTACAAAGTCGGTTTACAGAGGAAGGAAATTACATATCCGGACACCAGTCTTGCAATCCACGCACAGGAGAGTCCTATCCGGACACGCGGGAAGGCCTTTTGCCTTATATCTTCACGACCCACCAGTCCGACCCATGTCACATAGCCCGGACACCCGAGGACCCACTAATCCAGGACTCCCTCAGTAGCCCCTGAACCAGTCTTCAATGACGATATGTTCGACACGCGGGTTGTCTTCGGCATTGCAAGGCGGGTTCCTCCTCCTGAGTAGAAAGCAATCTTCTGAACAAAAGAATTAAATCCGACTCTGTATAATTGTTGCAACCATTAGCCACAACGGTAAGATACCAAACAAAACAGTGTCTTCCCACTGACACCATTTTTGGCGAAACGTCACGTCCGGCCTCTTAATATTTCGAACCGTTTTTACATCTCTCGCTTCGCATTTTGAGGCACATCCTCTATTGGCATGTATTGTCAAAACAGAGATCGTGCCCGCCCATTACGGGATCCTCATCAATACAGTTTTGTGTAATCCAACCGTGCCATTCGCATGACCCCTTGGGAACAGGCAAGTTTTAAGGCTTTGACGGAGGGCGTTTGATATTCACAGCCTATATAAGAGGATAAAGATTTATTTATTTCCCCCATGCCTTCTTCCTTCTCCTGTTTTCCCATCTTCGAGCTCCAGCGCCCAAACTTCAATCTTTCCCACCGCCGCCAGCTTCTCCAGCCATGTCTGGATCTGGTTCAAAGGGCAAGTGGGAGGCCTCCTCCGTCACCGAGAAGGACGTCAAGGAGCTCCGGGAGGCAGGGTATTTGTCTGCGGATATCGCACAGGCTCCCTGCCAAGAACCAAGTCATCCCCACCCCGGAGCCCAGCGAAAGGGTTGTATTCATCCCCCACTTCCTCCGTGGCTTAGGGTTTCCTCTCCATCCCTTCGTCTGGGGCC